GGAGAGACAGACAAGAAGAGTGAGGCGAGACAGACAAGAAGAGTGAGGCGAGACGGATGAGAAGAGTGAGGAGAGACAGATGAGACGAGTGAGGTGAGGTGAGACAGACAAGACGAGCGAGGTGAGACAGACGAGAAGAGTGAGAATTCGTCACAACCCTAGTCTCAATCTGAGTGTTTTTCTTCACAGACCGTCAGCAAATACAACTCGCAGTACCACAAACTCTTCTCGGCCATCCCGAAGGAGGAGATCCTCATGAAGGGTAACCTTTCCCATCGATCTTACACTGCATTTACACTTTAGATCAGTGCGTTTGGTTGCTTCAGGACTCAAGTGATAAGAGAGAGTGCCAGAATAGCTTTTCTCCCGCTAAACATTAGAATGCATTAATATTATATCACAAACTATGCAGCGTTGTTGTGCGTAACATGACAGATGCATACTGCGTTCATTTGGATTCGGCACCAGGTTTGGACTGAATATGAGTTGTATTTTGTATTAAAGTGTCTCTTGTGTTCCTCTAGTTTATTCCTGCGCTCTTCTGCGGGACATTCTGCTGCAAGGGCGGCTTTACATCTCTCGAAACTGGCTGTGCTTCTATGCAAACCTTTTCGGGAAAGACATCAAGGTTTGTAGCGCTTTCTTTAACGTGCAAATTAAAGATGTTCAAGATCAATGAGTGACCAAATCTGCATCAGCGTTGCTACTGTTAGAACTGTGTTCAAACTATTAATAATTTCCGTTGATTTAAATAAATTTTTAAAAATGTAATATAAATATTAGATGAATAAATTAAACAAATTATTTAATTAAAAAATTTAAGTGAAATAAAAAATAAATTTTTACACATAAAATTACTAAAACAAACAAATGAAAACTGAAAAATAAAAGCTAATTCAAAATATTAATATTGTAATAGTGTTTAAATAATGCTAAAATAACATTAATGTGCAAATTAAACCTAATAAACGCTAAACTAATAAAAATGACAAAAGCACATAAAATTACTAAAATTTAACTCAAATGAAAACTGAAAATATAAAAACCCAAGCTTATTCAAAATATTAATAAATATTATAATAGTGTTTAAATAATAGTACAATAACACCGATTTGCAAATTGAATAAAAAATGTAAACTAATAAAAATGACAAAAGCACATAAAATTGCTAAAAAAATAATAATAATTATATATATATATATATATATATATATAAGCTCATTCAAAATATTAGTAATTACTGTAATAGTGTATAAATAATCCTAAAATAGCACTCATGTGCACTGGCCAATATTAGCATAGTTTAATTCCTGGTTTATGAATTGTTCAGTGTTTAAATCACATAAATCAGCTTAGTTTGATCTCTTTTTGAGAGACAAAATTAACTGGTTATTGATATTTTCTGTGGCACGTTATAATGTTTTAATACCTGATTTTAGCATGTAATACAAAAAAATGCCAGCCATCATTTCTGGGGATTTTAAAGTGGTTTCCAGGTCTGGAAAAGTGATAGAAAGTAATAAAATGTTTTGGGGGAAATCCTAAAATTCATGTTGTGAAGTTGCTGTTCATGAGCGCAGACGTTTTTATAATATGTGTCCCTGCAGCACAAAAGCAGTGTTGAGTCGCTGGGGTATATTTGTAGTAATAGCCAACAATACATTGTATGGGTCACAATTATACATTTCTCTTTTATGCCAAAAATCATTAGGATATTAAGTAAAGATCATGTTCCGTGAAGATATTTAGTAAATCTCCTACCGTAAATATATCAAAACTTAATTTTTGATTAGTAATATGCATTGCTAAGAACTTCAATTATTATTATTTAAAAATATATATATTGAAATTGTCAAATTAATATATTTATATATATATATATATATATATATATATTAGTTTGTATATTGAGATTACATATAATATATAAAAATAGATTTATCTCAATATAATAGATTTATTTTTATATACTTATATGTAATAATATTTTATATATAAATTAATAAATTGTTAGATTATTAATAATCATCAAATACAAATGCAAAGTAAATATAAATATAATGTATGTATTAATAAAATGTATAAATAATCATAAAATGATGTCTGCACATTCATTTAATGATGAATTAATTCATAATTAATTGATATTCTTAACATTTATTACAATTAAAATATGCGTATTGATCAGACAGTGTTGGTTAAGAGTCTTTATTCTCTTGTATTTCTTGTTCCCAGTATGTGTTTGTGTCTCTGCTGTCACGAGACAGTGTATATGACGTGCTGAGGAGAATCTGCACACACCTACAGGTGACACACTCACTCACTCATTCACTCACTCTCTCACACACACACAGACACACTTACTCACCCACACTCACACACACACACACACACACACCCACACTCACTCACTCACACACTCACTCACTCACTCACTCACTCTCTCACACACACACAGACACACTTACTCACCCACACTCACACACACACACACACACACACCCACACTCACTCACTCACACACTCACTCACTCACTCACTCACTCTCTCACACACACACAGACACACTTACTCACCCACACTCACACACACACACACACACACACCCACACTCACTCACTCACACACTCACTCACTCACTCACTCACTCTCTCACACACACACAGACACACTTACTCACCCACACTCACACACACACACACACACACACCCACACTCACTCACTCACACACTCACTCACTCACTCACTCACTCTCTCACACACACACAGACACACTTACTCACCCACACTCACACACACACACACACACACACCCACACTCACTCACTCACACACTCACTCACTCACTCACTCACTCTCTCACACACACACAGACACACTTACTCACCCACACTCACACACACACACACACACACACCCACACTCACTCACTCACACACTCACTCACTCACTCACTCACACTTACTCACACACACTCTCACACTCACTCACTCACTCACTCTCTCACGCACACACACTCACACACACTCACACACACTCACTCACTCACTCTC